CTGTGGGAGCAGAAATGGGTCTCTAGGGGAAAATTCTGGAAGAGGTTCAACGTAGTGGGTTGAAGCAAGCAGAGCAAATGGCAGAGTTTCATCACTAACTTCAACGGATGCTCATTGTTTGTTTTGTAGTTTCCAAAGTGCTCATGAGCTCTCAAAAACAAAGAGTGTCTAGAACACTCCTCACCTGCAGTTGGCCAGAAAGCAAAGCTATTATTTTAAAATACCTAACCTAGAGCTTATTATCCTGGTTTTAGATGACTCTGATATGTTCTGAGAAAGGTAAAGACCTCTGAGAAAGTCTGCAAATTCCAGGGTCAAGTTTTGACAAAGAGAATTCAAGGCACTGGTCCCAGAAGCACAGCATGGCTTTTGCAATCATCTGAGACACCTAAGCTAGAAGTCCTCATGTAACATGAAAGGGTCTGGTTTTGAAGCAAACTTCCTGCATCGGTTCAATGTCTAGATGCTGGAAATCCCGCTGCTTCCATGTGATTTTCCAGAGCGTATATAGCCATTCGTCAAACTTGTGATAGCAGCCATGGCGTAATCGTAAAAGCAGGTCAGAATAACAGAAGTGAAAGTCAAAATTTTATGTGAATTCTTCCGACTACATTTATCATTCTTCCGACTACATTTATCTTTAAAAGTCTGGATATCTTTAAAAATGAGTCTGAGAAGAACTATGGACCAAATGCCCTAAACAACAGGGATAATACTACTCAAGCTTTCCAGCCTTCATTGTATTAAGGGCTACTCGGGGTGCATGCTCTAGACATTTTGGTCACCTCAGTCTTACTGATTCTTTACTCATAGCTCCACAACTCTGTAGACAGTAGTGCTATTCCTGTGAAGAATAAGGTGTGGCAAACGTTAAAAGTTTGCTAGGCTACATAGCAACTAAAATTTCAGAATGATGCATCATAGCAGTCGTCTGAGAACAAATATATTTAGTTGGCATGGAAACAGTAAGTTAGGCTGAATGTGATAAATATCCAGCAGTCATAAAAAATTGAGTAAGTCAGAATAATAAACATTAAAAAAAAAGAAAACTCACTGAATGCTATTAAATCATAGCTCTCTTGCAATTATCGCTCCTGTTTTCATTTGAGCACTGAACTGAAATCCACTTAACAAAATAAGCTGTTCCGTTTTATTCCAAATACTTCTACAACATCCTTACTTGGATAAGCCCTTTCTCCTTTTTTATAATCTATTTGAGAAAAAAGAAATTAAAGGGTTGGAAATCTATACTGGTATTCTCCTTCATTTCCTCAGTAATATTCATGAATTGAACATAATTGATTTTCTGTCTTCACAGAATCTCCCTCCTTTAAGGTCCTGTTTGTGACATGACTGCTCGGAGGAGTATTCTTACCGTTTAAATGCCTTTAGTGATGTTACTTCCACTGTTTTTGAACATAAGAGGGACTTTTTTCCTCTATTATTCCCAATTATAAATTTAGCATCGTACTAAATCCACCCCTATATTTAAAAACATTAAAATCAGGAATGAAAAAGCCAGTCAATTCACATTCTGAAAAAAATTCTTGCATGTGATTATCAAAAGAGAGATTCTTGGAGGTTTTTTAATATTTTGAGTTGTGCTGACTGCCCTTGCATAAAGGAATTTGAAATGAACTAACGTATTCTAAAGAAATCTAGGTAATTAAGCAAGAACAAGATAGCTACCATCAATTTTTATATAGGTCCCAATTCAGCCCAATTTCTTGCACATGCCTAAATTCACATACTCACTAAAGCACATGCTTAACTGGCATGCATAGTATTTAATTACACACACACATACACATCATAGGATGTAAGGTCTGCTGCATTAGCGACTTAGATTTTTTAATTAGGAGTGACACCTGCAAGAAGCTGTATGGTTCAAGAACGGGAAACATTTCTGGTAGAATGAAAGATTTCTCCCTCAGAAATCTTGTCTTGCATTAGACCCACGCATTTATTGGAGATAACCAAATGCTACAACATAAGAGTACACAATACAGGAATATAATCAAAATTGGGTTAGCTCATGGGAAGCCAATTCCCAGATTTACATACTACTGAGATGCAAGAAACTTTAGCATCGATTTACAAGGAAATGGTTTGGATGTACCTAGATTTCCTAGGAACCTCTAGAGTCTGCATTAACTGTCTTGGACTATCTATCAAGCAACCCAATGTGAGTTACACTATGCCTATTTCTAGTTTGCCGCTTTCCATGAATACAATTACACATCTCAAGAAGTCAGACACCTCACTTTTGAGAGAAATGTTCAGTATTTTGACAGGAAGAAAGATTATACACACATTTCTGAGATTCCAGTCTGGGAGAAATATCACTGAGCATATACAGCATGCCCTAGAAAACCAGCTGAGCAGAGACAGGGCAACCTTTATGGAAAAGATAAAACTAGTTAGATTAGTCAAAGGGAAAGAAGTTCTTGGGGACTTTAAGATAAAGGTATTGGAAACAAAATGAATGAAAATTGTTTTTGACAAATGTGTGTTAATCTGAAAAAAACAACTGAGATAACACAGATATCTGTGTAGGTGATTGTATTTGCTCACACTGTAAAGAGGATCAAAAAAGTTAACAGACGTAAACACAAGTTCATACAATAGCATGAACAATTGGAACAAAAAAGCTTCACAAAAGCAACAGTTGAACTGGAACGCCAGGCTCAGCTCTAGACATCTCACTGCTTTAGCATCACGGTCCTAACATACTTTTTTCCCTCCCTTTTATTTATGGAATGGTTTGTGTCAGTAAGTAGACTCTGTCTGGATAATTAAAATAAAGAGAGGTTAATTCTGTGCAATCACCGGAGGGTTATTACTAACGAAGAGTTAAGCTTCATGAATCTGTCAGTCACTCTTGGAGACTGAAGAGTTATAAGGACATTGCACTGAAAAGAGACAAACATGGAGCACTAAGATACCACCCAACAAGCCATAACGAGAAACAGCTTTTTATTTTTAATTAAAAGCACAACAAAATGCTTTTTCATGTCTCATTCATTTGTTTGTTGCTGTTATAGAATCAAAACACAAGATTTTTCCTTTTAATGAAAAACAGAAGCTGTTTAACCCTCTCTTCTCCTTAGTTATAGACATGTAAAAGCTCAGAAAAGCAGCCTTTGTAATAGCGCCAACACAAATTTTGATGTTTTATGCAATTCTCTATCAGACAATATTTGGTAAAAGCAGAAAGCAAGTTCTAAGCAGCTGCCTTAAATATTCCAGCTCCCTCATCAGCTGATTAGGCATTAGCTACTCTTAATGCTTGACCAACATGTTTACAGGTAGTCTGGCCAAGACATAACTGGAAGTATGTCAAAGCAGTCATTTTTGTATTTTTATTCTGGAGAGATAAGCATAACTAATGGATTAACCAGTCACAGAGAAGACACACTAACAACTTTCAAAATGTTTTTCTGTGCAAAAAAAACAAAGCCACTGAAACACAAACATTCTCAATGGATCCAGCTTCTTCAAAAATTCTCAGTATATGAATGGAAGAAACCAGACAGTCGACTAACTCATCTATCAGCGTTACCATAAATCTGTTAATGTATTTCCACCTTGCTGGAAAAGCTCTAAGCTGGCTGGTGCAGCATAATTTAAATCACATTTTGGATCCACATACACTGGAGAATGGTACATTCCCCAGCTGAGCTGGTCCTACAGTAATTCAGCGCGGACTGGGTATTAACGTAAGAGGAGAGCTTTGAGGCAGAAAAGGGGGATCATCCTGTGCTCTCTAGAGCTCTCGTCTTTCCCTGTTTCAGTCAGCTATTTTTTATTTTTCCTTCAGGATCCCCTCTCAAAAACGATCAGAAAATAAAGGTAAAATGGCAGTGGCAAAGAGAAAAGAAAAAAAAATTAGAGATTTGGAAGAGGCCTGTCATAGTGTGCAGCCCAGTGCTATTCCCTGTGAGGGACAAGCATGCTGCTGGATATGTAATTTCCCTTCTCTTTTCTAGGAGACTCAATCTGCAATGCAATGCTTGTAGACCAGGCACTGGTTACATCAAATTTCACAGATGCCACAAGCATTACAGCCCTGGATGCGCCTGACCCGACCTCTAGATCTGGGAGACAGAGCAAGGAAAAGAGAAGAAGAGCAAATCCCTGACTTCATGGAGAGGAAATACATGACGGTAAACACTGAAGGTCAATGAGGGTTCCCATGCGCAAGTAGGATAACAACAACTGGAGAAAAATATTTGAAATTCATGATTATTACTCTTCTACAACCACTCCATACTTCTATTTCTTCAAGTTTGGGTTTAGCAACACCTCATATACACAAATAATTGTGGATACTGTTCGATCAGCACCAAACAAAGTTCTGAAGTGCTGCACAAACTCATTTCTATTGCAGATCTGCACATTTGTAAGTGATTCAGATATCCACAACCGCTGTGTTTTCCTGAATGTTTAAAGGTAAATTTAGTTTAAATGCAGATCATTCACTTTCCATTTCAATACTAGTCTGTAAATTACCTGCACAATTTTGCTTGAAGCAAATACAATCTCTGATTTCCCTGAAAGTGTCCAGAAATTTTTAGCAGTATTTATCAAATGGAACTGTTTAGGGACAACATGCCAGAACAACGCATACATAAGATCAGCAATAAAGATTATTTTTAGTTCAGTTATTGTCCAGTTATAATTTTCTTAATACAAGCCATTACAGGACACGTTAGAGTAGTCCCCAAACCCTCTATCAAAACAGTATAGTCACTTGAAAATAAATACATCATTTAACAGCTAGAATAGTTGAAATACCAACTTGAAATAGAGAGCATGAGATAAGTATTTGCCTGTAGGGTTCAGACAGTTTAATTCTCTTTTATTAACAAAAACAGAAAAGAAAGCTAGCTGAAAATTTTGGAGGAAAATATGTGCTTTTGCTTTGAAGCAAGATATCCTTCTTAAACATAGACCCTCCTTGCCCAAGGGAAGAGAAATAGGGGGCCAGCGCCAGGTACCTGCTCCTGGGTCTCCAGCTCTCTGTGTTGCAGCTTCTTTTCTGCAGATCGCATCTGAATGCGATAACTTTCCATCTCATCTCGTAAGGCCTGAAACAATACAAATGGATGCAAAACACACGTGAGAAACACAGGATGACAGAAAAACTTATAGATAACGTGGTTCAATAGGCTGAGTAAGAAAACAGTGCAGTATCCGTCCAGTTCCTCAGCTATAGTTGCTTTTAGCAATTCATGAGAGCTGCTAAGAAGCAACAGGCCCAGCTTTGCCACCCACATTGACAAAATTATTCTGCATAGGTGGGATAATCAATTAAACAGGAGGAGTTAAATTGCATTAAATAGTATAGTTAAATACCGAGGCCTATCCTATCATAGCTTATACGCATTCATAGTAAAAATGCAATAAATACCCTCAAAGATTGAAAGTGAAATAGAAATGTTGCAAGTTCTGTCTCCGATTTTTGCTATCAGTTTATTTGTACAATCTGTGCCTCCTAGGCGCACTTTTGCAGTGCACCAATAGCTCTTCCTCTAAACCAGCAGAAGGATCCTTTGGAAAACCATGTCTGGAATTTGCAGTGACAATGTACTCCCTGTTATTTCAATGGGAAGCTTTCTGAGATGAGGGGCTCCCTTCCTTCCTTCCCTGTGGTAATGCCTAGCATGTGATGTACAAATGAAGTAAAAATGGTAATAAATAAAACAGATATTATGATCGCTTAACTCTACCACAACTACTATCCAATCTTTACTTAGTTCAGAAATAATCACTTTTAAACTAAGCTCATAAAATGCATGGACAAATTTATTTTGTCATTATTGTTCCTCCTGTATATTTATTTTTATTACAGCAGCCCCTCAGAGCCTTGATCTTTTTGTTCTATGCTTAACAAAAGAACAGTCATGCCCCAAGGAGCTGATAGTCTGTTATTTCTAACAGATATGCACCAAACAAACAATACAAAGTTTCAAAGATTTTTTTTAAAGTTGTCTAAGCATTGTTGAATGTTTGAATACACACTTAACATTCACTTACACACTTACTAAAAGCTTAGTTATGTTGTCAGCTTGAATAAAGGCATTGTTAACTGCAAGTACTGACTTGAAGCAAAGTGCACAATGAGTATGTGGGGCTGACAGCAACACGGAGGCAGCCAGGGCAGCTGAGAGGGAGTATTTTGAGTTATATTTCGTATGCCAGGAGATCAAGGCATAGCTACTCATCAGCTGAAAAGTGTGGAGCAGAGTCAGGACTAGACCAGAGTAGAGACTCAGACTACATATAGGCTACATAGAGAGTGTCTCAGTGCAGCTTCTCTAACAGCTGAGCTGCACAGAGAACTTCTGCAGAGCTTGCTGCAAAGGAGAGACCAGCAAGCCCATATACTCTTAATGCATTTTTCAGAACATGTGATATGGTTATCGTTTGCTTCCTCAAAGTAGAATACCCATACATAAATCAGGATCATTAAAAGTACTCACAGTACAAAGATTTAACAGAAAAAAAAAAAAACGTTGCTCTTTTCCACAGGACTGAAATACTGTACTCTCAAATCATTTACAGGATAAAATTGCTATTGAGATAAGATAAGAGGACTACTTATGATAGATCTTGCACATTGTTTTGAAGTGATGCCAGGCATTAACTTTAAAGTCTTACAGCTATAAGACATATTCTGATGCCAAAAAATTTAACCAGACCCAAGCATGAACTTCAGATCTGCCCAGGGACTTTTATGCTATCACCGCTGCTAAGAAATGTTGAAATCCAGTCTTTGAACCCAGTCTTCTACGCTCAACGAGTCTTGCAGTATCTTTAATTAGCATTAATATAATGAAACATATGTGTGAATTGTAGGCTTCTTATTTCCTTTTTGTACATCTAATATGGCAACTTAAAATACAAACAAGCCTACCTTGACTTAAACCTAAAATGATCAGGTAATGCAACCGTAGAAATGTGATACAGAACAAACAAGGCCTTTCTACACATCAGAAAGTCCCAATTAATTTGTAAAAAGTCTTGCCCCAACTTCAAAGTGAACAGGCATGACCGTTACAGAACAACTCTCAAGAACATCCATGGAGCACATTTCAGACAAACTACAAAGTGTGATCCATCTTCTCCTGCTATTTCCATGTGATCAGTTTATTCAGTCAAAATAGCTTGGTATGGTGAAAAATGAGGAGGCAGGAACCCTTGCTCCACTGAATCCCCACATCTGAGGCTGATTTCTTCCTGCAGGGCCCTAACACTTGTCCTCAAGAGCAAGTTTCACTCTTCCACACTATGCTGAAGATGGTCAAGAGGTTGCATATATATATTTGTATAATTATGGGTTTATACATATATATTTATCTCAGAGAACAGACTTATATCACATTGCATCACAAAACTCTGCAAGTACTGAACACAAAATGGGATCCCAAAGAGCTCCTGGTAGAGTGAGCAACCACTTGGTGGCAGACAGGAGAACTGGTCTGGTGCTGTTTCATTCCCTAACTTCTCCATTTTGACTTTTATTTTCTACAACAGGCGAGCATATTTTGCAGAGCATAAAATGAGAGGTTCTTCTAAATCGGAGGGTTTGTGATGCTTCTTCAAGTAAGTTAATCTGGGAAATTCAGATGACCCACAGTCTTTGCCAAGTCCGTCTACTCTAGACAGGGTTTGCCGGTGCACAGCACACATTTGATTTCATTAAGAGAGCAGACAATGCCTTGAACTAATACAGTTTAGAAAAAACTTTTTTGCTATACTGTATAAATGTAACAAACTACCAAGTCTTACAATTATCCATTCATCAGTCATCCAAACTTCATGATTCTTCCTAGAACACTGAAATCATGGGCAACAAAATTACTTACTTCTAATTACTGTTTTCAGAGATAATCTTATGCAGGAATTTGCAACAACCATGAGATTTTAATGTTCCTTTTTTTGGCATGGCTTTGATCAAACGCTGATCTTTTTATTTTTCATCTACATGATGATAGGAAAGCTGGAATTCCCGTACGAACACTCTGAGTTATCATAGGACGTCCTTTATACCCAAACCTAGATTCTACAAAGGTGACGAGAGCTGGTTGGTCCTCTACTTGTCTAGGTTTATCATCAATAGTCCAAAAAATTGTGAAGTCAGACAGAGAAGGTAGTGTTATTCCTGCCATCCTAATAGGAGATATACCAACAACCAGACATGATGTGATTGGAAAGGTCTGTAAACTCATACGATATATTCTCTGATGTCATGAACAATGCACCCTTCTGAAGGTCACACGGAAAAACCTCACTATTGGCATAAAAACTTCATATTCACTGGTCAGAGCCTGAATGTTCTGATATCTACTTCTCTGGGTCCCCAAAACCATTCTGTCTTTTTCTATATCTGACAGATAACCTTTTCTCACATAGAATGCTCTTAAAAATGGCAGACAACTTACCCTAGGTACACCACAGAACGGCTCTTTGGTAAAATTAAACAAGGTTTTTGTTTTGTTTTTTTTAGAAATGCAGTTCTTCTACAGCTTCCAAGTGTCAGATTTTACCCACAGAATAACAACATGTCTGTTTAATAGCTGTTGGGTTGGAAAAAAAGGGATAGTAAAAAAAAAAGCTAAAAAGAGAGTAAAAAAAATGCAGGCCATTTTTTGGGTGTCAGAGGCTTTTTTTTTTTCCAAAGTAGAAAACAAAGCCAAACTTACTAAGTTACAAAGTACAAAATTAATCCCCTTCTTTCAGCTTTGCTAAGCTGACTTACATCACTGCTATAAAGACAGTATTTTTTTTTCAGTTAAACCAGCTTTCAAATGCCATGTAAACATGTTTGCTGTTGAAAGTCTACACCATACCTGACCTTGGAAGTGCTTTGTGTTGGCCTGAGAACAAAGAAATGAAATGTTTTGCTTTCCAGCCCAGATATCCTACACTTTGAAAAGCACTTAAAAATGTAAATGAGATAATAAGCTCTGCTGCAACAATGTGGGTGAATTACAGCTCTATGAAAGGAACATTCATCTGATTTGTTTATACAAACGGAAAGGTTCCTAAAATAAAATAATATTGTAAATGTTTTGGTCACATATGACACTGAGAGACACGAGGCTGACGGAAGAGAAGAGGGATGGTTCTGAGCGTACGCCCCTGCGGTGGAGCTCTCAGCTGGCGGCGCCGCGGGGCTCGGGGACTGCAGCTAGCCCTCCGCTGCCGCGGGGCCACCCGAAGCTTTGGGACGCGGTGCGATAGGAAAGGAGAGATAAACAGCTGAACTTCGTTTCCGGGTAGGCACTTTTTTTTTTTTTGGTATTATTCTATTGTGGCTCAATTATCAACCAATGAAATGTTTAATTAAGTTTTATTTTGAAACGTACCCTGCCGACGGTAACTAAGAGCACCTTGGAGACAGCAGAGTAGCACGTGGGGAGCTAGTGCAAGATTTGGCCTGCGTAGCTCTCAGAGGCACTGGGATGAGGCACGAAACCAGAGGAATTCAGCCTGAATTCAGCACCTTCGGGGTGCCAGACCGAGGCTGCAAAGGGTTTTTTTTCCCCTTAACTTGTAAAGAATATAGCTTTGACAAGGAGCCATAGCGAGACGAAAAGGTACGATGCCAGTATTACAAAATGCATTTCAGGGCAGGAATAAACGTTTAGCATTAGTTACACGGCTTAATTTAAATCAACTGAAAGCTGGTTAAGAAAAAGATTTTAAGAAGCACAGGAACAAGTATGAAATGGGAATATATGAAGCATTTATTCCCTAATATATGAAACCTGATTTGATTATTCTTTAACCACAGGACATTGTAGAAAAGAAGTGTCAGATTCCCTGAAAGAAAATTCAGTTCTGGAAGGATTAAATAAACAGAAAACATTACTGTTTTGAAATACTACTGATCACTATGTGAAAGCACTGTACTTACAAGCTTGTGATACTTCTTCTTCTTCAAACTCAAACAACTTCCTACTTTTAGAGAGCTCCTGAGTGTAGATGGGGCTTGATCCCTGCCCCCATCAAAATCAATGGCACATCTGGGATCACTGCGATCCTGGTATATTTGTCTCCGTGGTACCGAGAGCTGGGGAGACACGTACCAGGAACGGAAAATCTTCTAAAAATGTTAAAGCCCCAATATATTTTTCATCTTGAAACTAAAAGTGTCAGTAGGAAAGTCATTACTCATAATGATCAGATTATGTCACATAATGGCATATTCTCTTTTTTTATATATATTTGTAATTTTTATTGGCTGTAAGACCTACTCTGCATACACAGATGTGCACCAGTATCAAGAAGAGACCTCAGTATCTACAACCAGTACAGAGTAATGCTACTAATAAAAGGTAATAATAGCTAGCATTTTTCATCTTCAAAGAAGTTTTCAAACATTACCAAATGAATATAATTAGTTAATGAAAGATGCAGTAATAAAAGCTACCATAATTACCTACTGTAGTTTTAATTGTCTCCTTACTAATGCCCACAGAAGAAGGCTTCCACTTTACATCCTCAAAACATGTGCCAACAATAATTCTGAATACAGACCCCTCTTTAAGTGTCTACTAAATTCAAATTACATCCATTGATGTGTTTTCTCTTCCCCCATCATGTGAAGAAAACCTCACTCTGGAAGTTTAAAGAAAATCTGTGTGAACGTTAACAAAACTAAAAGAATTTTTGTTCCACAAATATAACTGGAGAATGCTTTAAAATTATGTCAAAGAAACATTCAATCTTGAGCACAATTATCTCCCCATGAAACTGTAAATACAGTGTCTTAGGACAGGGCACAAACTTATCCTTTATAGTAGATGGTCTCACAATATACAGAATCAAATGCAACTCTTTATTTACAAACAGCAGGGCAAGTATCCCATCAAAATTAATCATAGGTTTTTATTCTCCAACTAATGTTCTCCACTCACACTTTAAAAAAGTGATTGTCATTTTTGTTAAAATGCTTTATGATGAGCAAGCATGTCTGGGTTTATTACTACCAAAAAAAAAATTGGGAAAATGTATCTACAAAGATCACTGGTGTAACTCCACCGGTCAGAGCAAAAAAAAAAGTGTATTTTTTGGAAGCAACATACTGATGTTTGAGCCAAATTGTTGGTGCATAATCAGTGCTTTCTGTTCTTGCCCACTGGCATCACCATTATACCTTGGACACCAGTTGTCTTCTGCTCTACACTCCAACGCACGACTCTGAAAACATCCTTACTTAAGTTCTCTCTTGTTTTTGGTGCAGAGCAAAGGAAATCTTATGGTTTTAACCTAATACATATGTTTGCTGTTCACATATGGCAAAATTCCTTTCTGGTGGGAACTTTTTCCCTGTTGTTGCAACACACTACATATCCAAAAAGTCTCCTTTGATGTTGAACTATTGCTCCGCTGCTCATTATGCTACTGATTCAATATGAAAGGCAAAATTTCTGTGGTTTTGGTTAAAACAATAGCTTTATTTTTTGCAAACCAAGCTTACCACAACCTATATGCAGGGGCCAACAGAAAAATAAAATATCTCTATTATTTTCCACAAAAAATAGGTACAATGTTTGGTAACTGAACTTATTCTTCCCTCTTACAGGTAACGTTACAATTGCTATTATGACTGTACAGAAAATCTGCATTTTATTGCTCCAGAGGGAGAGAAATTAAAACACCTTAAGCAGAACTTTACATTTCTTGAACACTTTCCTTCCAGTGACCTCCTAGCCTCTTACCATCATTTAAATTTCATTATCTGTGTGAAACTGCTAATAACTATACATGGGTGGGGAGAGGAAGTCTGATTTGTCCAGTGCCCTACTAAGCAATGACAAAACCGCAGAAATAATCTGGGAACCTTCATGCTTAACATACGATGCTAACCACTAGGCACTATTTCATGAATAGTGAACATTAATTCCAACATGAAATACAAATGCAAATTTTAATATCACTTTAAAGATGTCACTAAAAGTGATAGCTCCTCGTTTTCTGTTACCACTATGAAAAAAGTGTCTTTGGTCAGGAATCAGATAAAAGGGGTAACTTTCAAGAAAGCCAAGAATTACTCAGCTCCCACTTAGACTAACGTAAACTTCCATATGCTGAACAACTTTGGAAATCTGGCCCACTTTGCTGTATTTCAAAATGAGAGCGGAGATCTTGCAAAACTAGCCCAAGCTGTGGGTTTTGCTCACTAAGCAAGTTCAAGCAGGGCTCCTTTTGGAGCCGGTCTATACTGCTTTGAAATGTGCCAGCAGGAGATGCCACGGCGAAGTACAAGAACTTCTGCCCTTCAGGCAGCGTGGGAAGAAAGGAAGAGGCTCAGGAAGGAAGGGAATAATTTAAGTCTAGGAGCAAAACTAAGTCTCTCTAGCAGCAGTGAAAAATTTTGCACGTAGGTCACCCACAGAAAAGAAACGCATTCAAACGTTTTTTCCAGCGGGGTAGGAGCTAACGGTATGCTATTTTCGCTTTTCACAAATCATATGCAAGGGACTGATTGGCAGTGTATTAGATACTTTGGCTGCTGAGTAGATCATCAGTATTAGCTCCTGAGCAGTCCATTAAAACTAGTCCATCAGACTCCACCTGGAAACATGAAGAATCGGTGTCTCCAGGAGATTCCTTGTGGGCTGTCAAGATTGTCCATATTGCATATGGTTTTCTCCTTTCTTCCTGATGTTCTTTCAAGATATCACTGTGAGTGCTTTGGGCATTTTCTGTAAATCCCTGGTTTAGCTGACCAAAGCTTTTGGACCATTTTCTGCAAAGTACATAGCCAGGTATCCAGGAAAACATACTGACAGTACCAGCAGAGTTATTCACGGGCTTAAAAGCAGGCAAGGCCCTAAGCATTTTGCTGAGCCAGGGCTTCACAGCAGTGCACTATAAATTGAATCTATTTGAAATGCAAAGGATGCAATAAAATAGCGTAAGTCCTGAAAAGATAAAAATTCAAACAAAACAGCAATATACATTGTAAAGTTAGGCATTTTTTCAGGAGGAGCAAAGGAAGGAACTGTTTTCACTTTATTTTTGTAGTGGCACAGGTGATAGGAGAGGGGGAGGGAGGCAAGGTTCAAAGAGTAGTAATAAACTTGCTTTCATCTATTTTTCTCAGCAAACCACAAAAAGCAACAAGCAGTTGCCATGTGGAAGCATTGTTTTGTCTCTTACCCGAAAGTTTTAGGGCCATGGGGATGAAGTCATTCTGAAAGCCTGTCTACTCAGAAGATTTACTCTAATACTTGCCTAGAGTATTTAGGCAATATGCTCTAAAACTAGCTTTTCCTTTCCTCCGGCCTACAGGGGCTTCATGGTCAAGGGTGCCCGTGGGAACGCAGAGGGCAAAGATTCCGAAAGGAGAGAACTACTGCACCGTCTCCCCCTTTCACTCTCCGAGGTGTAGACAGAAACACCAATGTCTCATTTGCTAGATAAAACGAATCTTTTAAACCCAAAGATACCATGACATCTGAAGCATACACGTATGAAGGAAAGGTTCAAAACTTCCATTTTAAACCACTTAGAAGGAGAGGATTTACCACGATTCTGTCTAATGTTCAGCTGACGCATTGTCAAAAACATTTATCACACAAGCTTTTGAAGTTTCTTAGCTCCCCCCGAGTTATTAAAACTTGAACTGCAGAGTTTATCAACCTCAAAGCCCACACACATTAGGCATTTTAAGTCAACCTTTCAGTTTGATTTCAAGACTATTATATAAAATAAAACACTCTCAATCAGGTTAATGTCTGACACGCTGTATGATAACGTTGAACAGGCATAACTGTTACGCCCGATGGATCCGTAAGACAATTTTCATTTCCTAATTTGCTTTTTATTAAACACTTCACAAGCAACGGAAACCGCAAGGAGTCTGCCATCCTCATAGTAGTTTTTTTGTGAAGACCTTCAAGATTTTAGACAACTTCTTGAATTTTTGATGCTATGCTGTAAGAACGTCTACAATGTTGGATATGCTGTGCTCGTAAAAAACTACTTTTGGGAATACAAATTAACTAGCAAAACATCTGTTTTGCTACCTGCTGTATGCTTGCTAACAGTTCTGAAAAAACAAACACAAGGGGCTCCATCAGGATTTCCTGCAACGCTTTCGAGGGCATCTGACTCACGATAAAGCATATTTATCAATCACTTGCTGAACAAGGCAGTCTTCTCACTGCCAGAGGCTTCATTCCAAAATAAGTTTATCACCAAACTGCCACTTTAAGTGGGTGTGCTGAAACTTTACACCTGGAGACGGCAATCGGCAGCTTCAGTAGACCCGCACTGCTCTACAAATGTCGTCTTAAAGCACATTCCTTGTCACAGACGCATGAAGACTCGGTAATATAAACATTTCTAATAGGCTTTATGAAACATCTTATTTTGCTATGCTCCTTTTAAAAGTAAATATTAAAGGCTCAGATATTTTCAGTCAATAGGCTAATACAATTCCCAGTACAAATAAAAGAAAAGGATGTATTTTGTGCAATGCACAAAAACCAAACCAGCAGACTCCACGCTATTGCTTGAAGAAATGCTTGGATTCTCCCTACTGCAGTAGAAGTAGTCCCTACCGGATAAAATAATACATATTTTCTTACACGCTCGCAAAGAAAGATATCTAATAATGTCTTTATACCTTTTCAAAGAAACCTTAATCAATAATATGAACTCACAAGGCAAACCACTGCTTTTCGAACTGAACAAGAGCTAGCTTGACTCAACAGCGCCCACACATTCGATGCACGCGAGACGTGAGAGGCAGCAAAGTAGTATCTTTTAAAAGTATGTCTGCAAGCCAAAAATGGGATGATTCTTGACAGTGAAGGATGCACACTTGGAAACTTAGAAATTCTTTTATTCGAAGTCTTTAACGACCTCCACCCCAATCACATTAGCAACAAGCCATGATAATGCAATTGCTCCTATTTAAATAAATGTGTGAAAATGAGCATTTTTGAAGCTTGACTTTTTTTTTTTAATCAAATTGAGATGAAGCTCATTTACTTAAAAAGAAAAAATGAAAAAGCACATCCTCTGCAGCTGGTCAAACAGACTATGAGGCTTTAATCTCACTAGCCTGAGGAAAACGAAAACTGTTTTCAAGTATCCGTTTTATAGAGTATCGAATTCATACTTTTTTAAAGCCATACAAACATGACTGATCAGAACTTCATCCCAGAATGTTTCTGCTCTAGGTAATCATATGAGGTCATGGCAGAGATACTTGCTGTCATAATGCCAACATTCTAAAATCTTTTGTTAAGTTCATATTTTTTTTAAATTAGATACGGAAAAGATCTATTTCGGCTTGTTTAGAAGTTTCTCCTCACATTTTAGAGCTCTAGAATACTAATGCAAAATGTTTTAGATACATACATACATACATAGCAAAGAATAGCGTAAAGCTCCACAACTTACATAAACCTCTCTGACAACTTTTTATTCAAAATATAGCTATACTCTAATTCCCGCATAACTCATATTCTGGGAATATCTGCCATTCTATTCCTTTAGGTCTAAAGTAATCTTTTTGCTGAACTGGAATCATTAATTAAATATTATGAACTTGTGTGGCTTAAATTTACTGGCCACGCTTCCCTTAAAAGCAATTGTCTAAAACAAACATTTGGTTTGTATTCCATACATACAAAAAGAAAAAGGCGGTCATCCGTATCTTGTATTTTAATGGCTTGTCTCATGCCAGTTCTCTATAACTTGAACTGCCATACCTTTTAAACACTAACGGAGTCTCAGTGCAGAAGGTGTAAAGCTTTTAAAGAGGCAGCTGAAGCAGATTCAAATATTCCCAACGGTGAAGAATTTCCCCGTCCACTTCGGCGGCGAGACTGGTCAGAGCCACGCCAGGCTGCTCGCATCACTAAGGCCTGATGCGTTTCAGAGGAATTTTGGCCTGCAAATTTTCAGCTAACTCTGCGCCCCTTAAAGCTAGCTGGGGTAAGATCAAAACGAGAGGCTCAGTTGGTAGAGATCACTGAAGGAAGGCTCACTGCAATAAGCAATTGCTTGGCTGAACTTAAAACAGAAACCCTACGTTCGATCTCGTGACACTGATAATTTCACAAAAACAGGTAACAAATTAGGTGTAATGTGTATGCAGGAAAACTAGGAAGAGGATGAGAAGGAGAAAAAAAAAACAATTGCTTTGTCTCAGATATATTCTTCTGGGGGATATTGAGAGCTCTTATCACAGTTGTGACAAAACAGATCTGATTTCAATGGAGTTTTGCTTTTTCTGGTAAATTTTGTTCCGAGTTGGTTTTGAGCTCAAAGATGGCTGAAAGACTGTGCTAATTCAGTTAGCTGATCTTTCTGTAGTTGCAGAAAACTCTTGTGCAGAAATACACAGACATGAGGGGAATCTTTGGTGCCACTAAGCAGGTTTTGTTGATCTACTTGTGAACCTAACTAGCATCCACAAGATATCCCTCTGCTTTTCCTTTCAAGGAATTCCCCAAGCATCATGACAAGGCAATTAAAATACTCCTGAAGGTCCATTCTCTCACCTCCCAATAACCAAGTGAGTAGCTTAAGCATCAGTGCCAATTACAGGTAGAAATGTGGCTTCTGATACATTACTGAAGGGCTGAAGATTGTTTGGTCTACTTGCTGCCCCAGTGCCTGGCTGAAATGCAATTTACAGGGAGAACAAAGATGAAAGGATAAAGGATGACAGGATAAAGAAAGCCCAAAGGTATGTCAGAAGTGGTACCTTTCTGCATTACTCCACTGCTCTGTACAGGCACTTCTGGAGCCTCTATTAGCCTTTATTCCTCAAGTGGCCAGAAGCAGATCTGGATTTACTTTGGCCATTTTTAATTCTACATATCTTTCACATTTTTAAGACCGAGTTCCATTTATTTTGTTGATACTAGTAGGGCTATTTTTCCCCTATGAGAAATTAACTTGTCAATAATTATAAATATATAGATACCACAGAAAACAAAGATCTAGTCTGGTCGCAATATACATGCCCTCATCTGCCTGATCTTCTAAACTCTGTTACTCCAACCCACAATATCTCCATGCATTGCCAAGTATAAAACAACTACTCTTAGGTGTGCCCAAGGAGGCCATCTGATATTAGGGAAAAAAAAACAATAGAGAGATATTGAAAAGGAAGGATGACCTCAAATGGATGAAAATCACTTCTGGACACTAATCTTTCAGAGAGGATAGATTTAGACAACCTACAAGGGAGCTGAATTTGAAAAATATATCAGTATAATATAAAAATATTCTCAACAGTAACTGTATTGGACTAGAGGACAATGTTAAGCCATCATAGTGCTTTCACCTTGAACGCTATATGTATTTTCAGCTCTCACCATCTCAAAAAGATACACTAGACCCAGCACCAGTACAGTTATAGCAACAGGGAACAACTTCCACATAAAGGATTGAATACACTAGAAACTTCTTACCAAGGCTGAAGAGTCTTAAGGAAGGAGATTACAGAAGTGTAAGCACTCCACAGCAAATGAACAGGGAATGGTTGTTTTTTTTCAAAACTAGGGCTATGACATGAAACTAGGAGTATGACATGACACACAGTGCAGCTATGGCCTCAGAGCATGGCGGGTGCTAAGGTTGCAAGGTTCGAAAAGCAACCATAGAATAAAAGTCCATCACAGCCTATTAAATGCAGACATCACCTCGGGCTCAGGGACTCACCTAACCAACTTGCTGGAGGATGGGGGAGTATACTGAGGAAATGTCACTAAAACTTCATCCTGTTCCTACACTTCTTCCTGGGCATCTGTTATCAGATACCATGTTCCAGAAAACTGAGCCAGACGGACCTTTGCTTTGAGCCAGCACAGCCAATTCTGTTTACCTTAAGCCCTAAGACAATCTTTGCAGTTTATCTCTTTGCAGTTTATCTGCTATAGGACTTTCAAGCCTCTGAAGGATTAGTGTCAAATTCCAATACCTCCAGTACACCAAAATCATCACCCAAAATGCTCTGAACAAGAAAAACGTCCCGGATCATTGTCTTCTGGTTTCAGAAATGCTGGATTAGACCATTTCTATGCAGGTAGAAAATGCTTCAAGGGTTAGAACATCTCAGCAACTCTTGATCAAAACCTGTTTGGCACGTCTAAAAAGAAGGAAGGCTCTTTTCATTTTCTCTTACTTTTTTACATGTAAGTAGTTTCAAATATTTTTATATAGATGACATTTTTAAAATGAAAAAGCATTAAAAGTAACAGAAAACAGATCAAGTTCTAAGGTCCCACCAGCTTCTCATTTGTGCAGTTCCATACTAACCTTCTCTCAATAGACCTGCACAGCACAAAGAGCAGGGCTTTCCCACCGCTTCCTGCACACTAGAAAATTTCTCCTTACATAAATGAGGCATAAACTGCAGGAAAAACAATATACAATGCACTACTGAAGAACTAAGAACTCTAGTATTGTTAAAGCTGCATAAATCTTGATCTAGTTTTAGGATCTGATAAGGAAGCACAAATAAGCTTGTCCTCACCAACAGCAAGCTAAAGGAGGAGAAGGCACAGAAGCCATGAAGTGTTGGATTATTAGAGAGGCATGCTAGCAACTGAATTCACAACTGTACCAAACTCCACCTGTAAATGCACATTTTGTAGGATTCAGGAAGGAGAAGAGACCTGGTAGAGGACAGTGGAAAGGAAAAAGCAGGATGTAAAATAACTCAGGCCTCACAGTATTCTTTGCTCATCAATCACTCCACGTTCTTCTGTGTTCTTCTTGTTTTTAGGATTTACACAAACATAAGTGTTATTCTGGTAAGAGTAAAAAACTATCACATATGAGATGCCCGTCACTGCTTAGAACATAGCTGTGGTCAAAGGCGTTTCCAGGTGTGCAGACATCCCAGTCCACTGATACGATTCAAACTATTACACAGTCGTTAGTAATTGCTGTTTTACCCTGCTGAAGCAAGTGCAAAACTGCAAAGGACACTAACTATATTAACACTAGAAATAAAAACTTAATAAATTTAAATATAACCCTATACAAAAGACAACACTTTATCTGAATCCAGGCAGAACCTAGATTCAAGTCGACTGCAGCTCTGGCTTGGTCCAAACTAGGCAGGTGTTCCTGCAGGTATCTAACGTTTGGTAGCCTGGATTTTTATTTATATAGTTTCATTCTGCCACTCCCAAGCCTATTAGTAAGCAAACAAACTCACTTTTCATGTTTAGTTTTCTCTTGCTTGTACTTTCACCCCGTCTTACAGTAATGAACTTGGAACACAGCACGAGCACAGACAGCACCTGGAGGCTTTTGGCATGCATGCAGCGGATAGGACAAATCACCTATGGGCATCATCCCTCTCTAAATAAGCACATTCTCTTCCATGTGTTTCTTCGAGTTTAAGGATTCGTTTGGTGGAAGGGTGGATGCTGGATAGTGTAGGGAGTCAGGCTGGCCACAGGAAGAAAATGGACCAAGCTGGAGCATGGTAGACCCACACACAAGTCCCTGAACAGTCAAATAGAAAATGCACAGAAAACCATTAGAGTGCTTCAGGCTTGAACACCTTTTCCATGGTTCTAATACAAACAATATGTCCTTTTAATGAAATCACAGTGTTGCACTCCCGAGACAGTACATTTCAGAAGACTGGATGAATCTGGACTAGAATTGTTGCCCTTTCAGTAAGATGGCCGATTTTACACTTCTCAAAACTACCACATATCTGTATGAAGTTCAGGTGTCGATACGTCCCAATTCCGTCTTCCCCAGGACATGGGACTGTTTTGTTTTATCCTGAACTGGTTCTAGAAGGACTTCATGTCATTCTTTTTTGATTCACAAATGATCTGACAGTCACAGTTTTTCAGGATATGATCAAGTGATGCTCCTCTTCCTCTCCACACAACAGGTATTATTCCTTGACAATGAGGAAAATCCAGTGCAAAACTGAGCTGGTGGCTTTAT